GCAAAAAACAACCCAAACTGAATAACCTCCCACGAACAAATAAAAGTACATAAACTCAATATAAATAAATACATAAAAATCCCTAACATTCAAGTAGCTTTATTCTTGAAAAATACTTATTTCCATAAGACCGAATCACCAAAAAAAGAATTCTTAGCCCCAATCTCCCCTCACATACAACCATTGTAAGAAAAAACAATAAATATCCCTCCTCCCCCAAACTTCCTGTAATTAAACGAACTATTGATAAAAAAAAATCTACCTAAAGCCATAAATTTCAATCTGAACAATATAGACAATAAATGCCTACGATTTCTTAATAAACTTAATAAACCCGAAAAATATATCAGAACTCCTAACATCATCACATTAAAATTGATTAACATTATTTACAGTAGTTTAAACAAAACCTCGGTCTTGTAAACCGAAGAAGGGTTAAATTACCCCTAAAACATTCAGAAAAAAGAATCTCTCTCATCATTGGTCCCCAAAAACCAACATTTTAACTTAAACTATTTTCTGAAAATTACAAAAATTATTATTCTAACAACAATCTTCTCTTCAGTCTTTTTCTTTTATCTCACCACCCTATCATAATAATCATAAATCTCATCCTATCTACAATTCTCATCAGCCTAATAACAACACTTATAATAAAAGCCTCCTGATTTTCTTACACCCTCTTTCTCATTATTCTAGGAGAAATATTAGTAGTCTTCATTTACATTGCAAGGCTAGCCCCAAACGAATCTTTCAAACTTCCAACAAAAATCTCTTTTCCTCTTATCAGTTCAATTTTTTTTTTTATACTTCTTCATTTCATTCAAACTTCCTAATCATCCTGAAATATACAAAATCTCCATTTCAAAAATCTTCTCCAACCTTCCTCTCCTGACAACTCTCTTCTTGGTCACCTTTCTCCTTATTACCCTTATTGGCGTAGTAAAAATTACAAAAATCTCCCAAGGCCCAATCCGACACAATTAATGTCAACACCTATTCGAAAATCAACACACTAATTAATCTCATAAACAAAATATTACCATATTCAGCTATAAAAATTAACAAGTCCCCCTCTTCTATACTCCACATTAAATCCAGACACCAACTCAGACTCCCCTTTCGCAAAATCAAAAGGAGAACGATTTGTTTCAGCCAAACAGGATGCAAATCATACAATTGCCAAAGGAAAAAAAAACCCCAAACCATTCATCACTCATCCTGAACATTTTTAAGTTTAACCAAATCATATCCCCCACTAAAACAACACAAGACAAAATAATCAAGGCCAATCTTACCTCACAAGAAATAGTCTGAGCAACAGCTCGATAAGCTCCTAACATAGCATATTTAGAATTTGAGGACCAGCCAGCCCCCATCATTCCATACACCCCAAAACTAGAAACACATAAAAAAATAACAACCCTAACTCAAAATCCACCATATTAAAAAAATATGAAAAATAATTCATAAACACAAAGCTAACCAAAGTCTAAAAACCGGGCTCACAAAATAAAACAATAAATTAGATAAAAAAGGAAAACTCTGCTCCTTACAAAATAACCTGATTGCATCAGAAAAAGGTTGCAAAATTCCCATCACTCCCACTTTATTAGGACCCTTACGAATCTGAATATACCCTAAAACCCTTCGCTCCAACAAATTTAAAAAAGCCACCCCAACCAAAACACAAATTAAAACAACCACATAACAGACAATAAAACTTATCACCAATACTGAAGAGAAGTCATACTTCCATAAATAGAGTTTAAATCCATTGCACTAATCTGCCACCTCAATCATTAACCGAGAAACTCCTTATCCTCATTCTTAGATTCTAAATCTAATACACTTATCTGCCAGATTAATTAACATAAAATAAATAAAATAAACAAAATTTACACTGCCTGGTCCTTTCGTACTAAGACACCTTCCTTTATAACCAAAGATAGAAACCGACCTGGCTCACGCCGGTCTGAACTCAAATCACGTAAATATTTAAAGGTTGAACAGACCCTCATATAGAACTTCTCCGCCCTACCGACTCTTTAATTAAACATCGAGGTCGCAAACTTCTTCGCCGATAAGAACTCTCCGAAAAAATTACGCTGTTATCCCTATAGTAACTTGCTCTTATTATCACTAAAAGTGGGTCAAAACGTAACACATAATATATAAAAAAAGATAAATTTCTTTCTCTACCGCCCCAGTAAAACTCCATTAACATTCCCTAAATGAAAACCAATAAAAAGAACTAAAAAATTAAAGCTTTATGTGGGTTGTTTTCTCGTCCCTTGATGAAATTTCAGCTTTTTCACTGAAAAATAAAATTCAAAATCTATTTTCAAGACAGTTTTTTACGTCCATCCATTCATACTAGCCCTCAATTAAAAAGCAAATGATTATGCTACCTTCGCACGGTCAATATACCGCGGCCATTAAATCACTTCACTGGGCAGGCCCGATTTTTTATAAAAACAAAAAAACACGTTTTTGATAAGTAGGCGAAAAAAATATTTGCCGAGTTCCTCGAAAAAAATAACCTAATTACTTTTATCTTCACAATCCTCAAAGTCAATTCTAACTCTTCCTACTTCTACTAATACAAAGATTTTAAAAATTTGTTAACAATTATCATCATATCCTTGATTTCATTCTTAAAACAAAACAAAAAAATAAATCCACTATTACATAAAATGATCACTTCTAAATCTGCAGTTAACCTTTTCTAAAAACCTTATAAAAAACACTTAGAGATTATCCCCCAAATGATCACTTCCTGAAAGTAAAAACAAAATAAAAAAATAATTTTTATATTCAAAAGCTGAACTAAATTCATTTATCAAAGAACCAGATATCAAAAAGATCGTATAGCATTTCACCCCATTATAAAATAAAACTTAATTTTGCAACACCAATTTCAATTCTACAATAGCTCTCTTTCCTTCGGGAAAATAAATAAATAATTTCTATTATTCATCCCTGATACAAAAGGTACTAGATTTAATCTTTTCTAATTCCCTCATAAATATTTCATTTTATTTCATCACTCCTTCACAGTACTAATCAAATATAACCACTTACAATTATTCAATACAACTTACTTAACAAATAAAAATACTTTTCAATTACAAACAAATAAGATTTTAAAAATCAGAGTAATTAGATTTGCACTAATTCCTACTCAGTGTAAATGAGCTGCTACCTACAAGCTCTACTCTTCCCTCTTAGATACATTTTCCAATACATCTACTATGTTACGACTTATCTCACCTAAAAGTGAGAGCGACGGGCCATGTGTACATGCCTTAGAGCCCTATTCACAAACACATATTTTAAAAAAAATTACTTTAAAATCCACCCTCAATTCTATCCTTTCAATAGAACATCCGTATTAATAAATTAATTGTAACCCACTTCAATGTTTACTATTAGCTGCACCTTGACCTGACATAAAAATAAATAAATTCTCACGATAGCTTTAACTCTATAAAGGCAATCAAAGACGGCGGTATACAAACTGTAATAACAAAATAAAGTAAAATTAAACGGGGACCATTGATTACAGAGCAGGTTCCTCTGAACAGCTTAAAGCACCGCCAAATTCTTTAGGTTTCATGAACAACAATTACCACCATAATTTTCTTTACACCTCAGAATAGCAGGGTATCTAATCCTGGTTTATAATCGAAGCTTTAAAAAAAATAATAATTTATCATCCCCAACTATAAAAATTTTACCTCCCAATATGAATATAATAAATACAACAAATTCATAATTTTAAAAAAATCAAAAACTTAACTAAGGTCTTCTGTCTAACCGCGGTAGTTGGCACAATTTTAACCGACCTAATTACAAATCACCGAACCTACCTTCTATGAGTTATTCAGAATTAAATACTACAAAAAAGACAACAAAAATAACTTCATTGTCAAAGAAATCTAAGTATTGTTACGTCTCCGTTTGTTAATTGATTTTCCGTAAATTCGTTCCAACGAAACTTTAGCGACACAAGTCCTTTCTCAAATAAAACTGGTTTATTCTTTCGGAATACAACTTTACGATACACTCAACTTCAACAGTCGCGCTATAACAAACTATAATTCACGTCTCACACGTATTGTTGAAGTCGAGCTCCTCTCTCTCTGACTGCAGTTCAATTACTCATTACCTACACACACACACACATTGTCACGTCACGCCGTGACCATCTTATATATACCAGGCCACCCCCAATCTAGCAAATGCTAGAGCACTCCCGAAGGAACAGGATAGTTCTAGAAACGTGGCGTGACACTAGTCACGTGACCTCGCTGACACAACAATACTATAATTTCCTAATTAATGCAGATTCTTGGATTTTACATTTAGAATATTACATTTTATTCCTAATCGCAATAAGTAACTAAGTAGTACAGTGTCTTTTTGCTTTTTAATATATCCAGTGTTATATTATTTCCCTAACAATTTTGTTTTTGTTTTTGTTTGTTTGTAATTAAGCACAAAGCTACACAATGGGCTATCTGTGCTCTGCCCACCACGGGTATCGAAACCCGGTTTCTAGCGTTGTAAATACACAGACACACCGCTGTGCCACTGGGGGGTCCTAACAAATACACTTAAAGTTAAACATATTCATACTGTTAGTTACGAAATGTATTATATTTTATTGTTCAACAATGAGTATTTGCGAAAAAGATGGTAAAGTATTTGCATTTTGTATGTAAGGCAAAGCTAATAATTTTGAAACAAGAGAGTCAATCTGTAGCACCCTAACACCCAGCATTCACACTAATTGATTAAGCCACCCTTATAATGCACTGATAGTTTCAAATGCGGGAATACTGTGTAGTATCGCATGAATTTGAACGCGCCTTGGCAATTCTGAAATCTAGAGCTCTACCACTAGGCCTACCAGCGATGAGAAAGTAAAACATGTTCAATTGAATTAGCTCATAACTTCGTAACTTGTGTTTTTACATTTTTCAACTAAGAAAATAAAAATACCAGGTGACATTAATTCAATTATTAGTATTAATCAAAAAAGCATAATTCTAAAAGTGAAATTAAAAAAAAATTTGATTCGAAAACTATGACCAATCTTGAATAAACAACCAAATATTTTCCTCCAATTAAAACGATTTGTTCGATAGATATGATATAATCATTCTTAGTATTTATTTAATTACTTTACTTTTATTTTTAAGCCTTTATGCAAGATAATTTGTAATTGTATTTAAACTCTGGCATTAACTGAACTTTGTTGAAAAAAATTATTAAATACTAAAACAAAAACTTTATTTTTAAAGCTTATTTACTTTAGTCTCCATAACTAGGCTTATTGTAGCACCAAACTGTATTATTCAGCAAATGAAAGACATAATTACATCATTTATAGTTTTAGCAGTTTGTGGTAAAGGGAAATGCTTGACAAGATATTTAAAAAGAAAGTGTGAAAATGAAAAGTTTTGTTTGTTGGGAAAGCTTTTTCTTGTTCCAAACGGTGTCGACTAGCGTTTGCAAGATAAATATAAACTATATACATATGTTAAATTATTCTAACCCGAATGCAACATTAGATCCCTTTTTGACATGTTTTTAACGTTTCATACTTAACTCACCACAAAAAAGTTAAAACAGTAAAGATAAGTATTACTTTAACTAAAAACTTACCGCAAAGTAGAAAAACAATTCTACAAATACAGATCATCTTGTTACACTACTTCAAGTGTAAGTGTTGTCATATATTGAGTTTACAAAATGTTCTCTGTTATATAACAAGATTCGAACACCCTTAACTGTTCTTTTTCTCAAGGTAAACTTCTTCTTGAGTAAGAGGCCCTGTTGGCCTCAGGCAAAATCATATTTAAGTTACCATTCTGTAAATATATATATACACATCTGTATGGCTGGCCTTGGTCTGTTTGTATTATATGGTCTCCAAACTCACAGATTAAGATGAAAATTAAGTTCAATATTTTAGTTATCACTAACAGTTTACTTGAACTATTGTATCCACAGTGTAGTATTGAAGTTTAGGATATTGTAAATACGTTATTTATAAAAAGAAATCATATTGTAGACGCATGTATTCTCTCTAATATATTTCTCGTTCGCATGCTTAGTTAATCCTTATATTTAATATAGTAGTCAGCATCGGTTAATTTACAAATCATACGCTTTTGTTTAATAAGGCAATGTATGTTTTGTTTTCTTCACACGGAGGTAAACACGTTAAAAAACATATCGCGATTAGTTATATATTTCCAGATAGAGAGCAGGAAGACTTATGTGTTAAAAACAAACAACAAAATACCTAAAAATAGTTACATTGACATTTAATTTTCATAATAATAAAGTTGTCATTAACACCCCTCGAGTTGAGTGCGTTAATACGATTTTGGAGCCTCACCATAAAAATGATCTTGAATTGTTGATCTAAATACTGAAAATTAAAGAAACTATTAAAATTCAGCTGAAATCTCGTCATATTTTTACAATTAGCTGGGCTTTTGTTCTTAAAGTACCATGTTGTAAATGATTAATTAAATACCGTATTGCATGCATTTGAGTAAAACTACCCCTACTTCCCAGATTTTGGACATTTGAATTTAACCCTGGTATATTCGACTGTATTTTTCGGACTGGGAGTTTCTCGAAGGATCATAAAGGCCCGAGTGCATTCGAGACGCCCTCTTTTTAATACGTAAGCCTGGCGAGAGAAACCAGCGCAATCGGCAGACTAATTGAAGAGATATAGATAGATATTGAAGTGATAAATAATTGAGTCAAGCGAACAGTAGG